AAGCTCGAGGACGAATACATTTTTCTCCCAAATGAATCCAGCCTCATTGAGTCTTTATTTTTCGGAGTAGGGATTGCTTGGCCCTGCCGCTCCCTGTGGTTGACCGACTCGACCACCAGGGAGTTAGGGGAAGGGTGGGTGTATAGGTATTAATGTCTTTTAGTAGGCACAAAATACTTGCGTTCTGCTTTCTTTGAGATGGGGGGCAAGGAGGCCGGGGTTTGTCACAAGGCATTTGAAATTTTTGCTACCCCTTCGTGGAGTGGCAGGGTCACTCTGCCTGGTATCGAGGCGGACAGGACGTTAAAGAGGGAGTCCGAGGGCTCCTCCACCTCCTCTGCCTGACGGTTGAGGTTTGATGCCACCCTTTCCAATAGTTCCTGGTGGGCTTTAGAGTCCTCCTGTGGGATGGAGGGACCATAGTCGCCTCATCAGGGGAGGGTGAGGAGACGGGCGTGGTACTTTGCGTGTCCACCGGCACTGGAGGATCCACCACTTGGTCGCTCTCCGGGCACGGCGCCGAAGATGCACGTCTCACCAACTCCGTCTTGGACGCTGGGAGAGGGAGGTCAATGGCCATTCTGAGGCTCCGGCCACCGAGCAAGCCCACATCAGGGGCTGCGTCGGGGGCCACGGTGCCCATTGGTACCACTGTGCCAGCCATGGGGTCTGGTGCCACTGCACCTGCTGTGGCACCAGAGGAGCAGGCTGTTTGGCCAGGCTGGCCTGTTCCATTCATTGATGACTATGAAGGGAGGCTGGGCTGATGTTTGACCTGCCGCTGTCACTGGACCGGGAACAGCAGCAGCACCGGGAGTGGTGCCGACCTCGGGACTGTGATCCTGTGGAGGAACAGTACCGCCGGTAGCAGCTGCTCTGCAATCGGCTCCGGTGGGCGGATCCGTGATGGCGAGGCAACAGCGATCCACGCCCAGGGTTGTGGGAATGGTGCCGTGGTGGGATCCTGGAGCGAGACTACGAATGGGAACGGCGTCGACGTTCGTGTCATGACTGGCTATAATAGCCCCTCGGAGACGAGGACCTTTGGCGTTGTCTGCTTTGGTCCCACCGGTGTCCGCTCCTTGAGGCTGAGCGGTGCCTGGAGTCTCTGTCAGTCGGAACCCTGCCAGACAACGTGGTAGGGGTTGACAGTGACCTGCGTGGACTACGCACAGGACGGTCGCTGAGCGGCGAACGGCGTCGGGAACATTCCCTCAACCGCAACCAGTACCAAGTCGGGGCCGACTGCGGAGATCCCAGCAGCGGCCTGCCTCTAGTCCGCGGAGCCAACATTGGTGGTGCCCATGGTACCGGCATGGACATAACATCCCGGGCCGCTTGCAGGGCCCCCAATGTGGAGGGCATCTGGGAAGCCTACTCCGAATGGGCTGGGCTACTGCGCTCGACCTGAGTCGGCGGCCTAGAGGCCGATGGGGACTGAGGACTGACCAACATGGGTCTACCCTCTCCCCCAGTTTTGCTCCGGTGCCGCGGCAGAGAAGGCCTCTTCTTAGCGTTCTTGGCATGCCCTGTGGACAGAGAGCAGTGCCGACTGTAGATGGCACCGGGGGGTCGCCGCGCACCGATACCATGGTACCCGGTGCCGACTTGGAGCGGCGTGCTGGAGTCAGCGTCAACGCCGACTCCATCAGGATGGCTGGAGCCAAATGTCTCTTTCTCTCTTGGTCCAAGGCTTGAACGACTTGCAAATCTTGCAGCGATCACTGAGATGGGTTTCACCCAAACAGCGTAAACAGTCCACGTGCGGATCACTCACTGCCACTGGTCACCTACAAATGTCGCACGACTTAAAACCCAGGGCATCGGCATGCCCTGGCCCGGGTGAACTAAACTAAACTAAACTAAACTAAACTACAGGTACTACTACACTGAACGAACAAGACTTCTGGAGGAGAGCTGCAGCCAAGCTGGAGCAGGGCAGTTCCGAAGCACCTTCACTGGCAGCAAGAAGGAACTGAAGATGGGGGGAGCGTGCAGCATCCCTTATATCGCGCCATGGAGGCGCCACTCTAGAGGTCGCTAGGGGCGCTCCCCTACGGGTACTGCTAGGGAAAAACTTCCGGCACCGGTGCATGTGGCGAGCACGCAAACCTATTGTGGAATACATATGAGCAATCACTCGAAGAAGAACATTTTATAACTAGAGTAAAACAAAGATATGTCACATCTTTTTATCCCTAATTTTGACTTCCTTGGCTTTTCAGATGTACACTCTAGGAGGGTTATTTTTTGGTTTCAGAACAATACAGCGATGCACTTACTATAGTGTGACATATTCATATAGAGAGGGAACAGCCTATAGCCCTTCACCCATTGTTCTTTTTTTTTTGCTTATTATAACAAAAGGTATAAGTAAAATAATCTATTGTCATTGATCTAGCATACACTTCCTTAAAAAATAAATTCTTGAAAAATTGTTAGGAAGACTTTATTTTTGGTCTCTTAAAGTTGTTGCAAAAAAACTGAAGAAAACATGGCAAAAAGGTTTAGGAAATATAAAAGTAGAATTTTAAAGCTAAAAGGAAGTATTGTACTTACACAAAGAAGAATCTCGTACACACATGATCAGTGTTGGGAACTACCCATATCTCCCCATGTTTGTGCAGATCAGGTGAGGTTATCACTATAAGGAGAGAACAAACACTGAACAGTGAAAACATCTCCGGAAAACATCATTTAAAAATATCTGTGCTTCCACACATTTTAAATAGCATTGTGGGAATGTCTGTTACATGGTCTAGAACCTTGGAGTTGGCTGACCCTAGGAGTTAGGACATCAGCTTAATTCTCGCTAACAACCAGTGGTATAAACCAGTGGTATAGGGTACTGTGGGCCAATTAATCAAACTTTGGCACAAAGAAAATTTATGTTTGATGATGAATGGGTGAAAAGTAAAATATGAAAGAAAAAGCAGGGAAATGAGTCATTGATTATTTAGGATTATGCTTCTTCAAATGCTGCTAGAACCCTGCTCCCCCCCCTTGCAGTGTCAGGAATCAGGGCCTGCAGCAGACCCAATCTCAGGGCAACTTAATGAGCACAGCTGATCTGTAGTAGGTTACCTGACTGGCTTGGATACACCACCTGATTGACTGGAATGGTAACAGGTCAGTTCTTAAGCCCAGAAACAGCAATTCAGTGGCTGCTCAAAGCATTTGCCCATGACTGTGATAGCTCCTGCCTTGGACCTAGCCCTACTCCTGCCTGGCTTCGCTCCAGGTAACCTGGTCCTGACCATCAGCTCTGACTTCTGGCTTTGTCTCTGACCTTTGCTCTGGCCTCTGACTTCTGCTTTAACCACTGGAATTGGCTTGTGCTCTAACCACTAGGCACAATCACCCATGTCCCAATCACTGACACACATATAGAGGAAATTATGAATCAGGAGAATTAGGTACCACTTCTCTAGGAAACAGCTACATATTAAATCACTGATTTTTTTTTTAACCATGAAGATAATGATCTGAAATAAGGTTTTCTGGGTAGAGGCCATTTTTGAATACAAACCATTTTGTTCCGAAGATCTCCTATAAACGCACTTGAACACTATTGTAAATAAATGCATGTATACATAGTTTTACAATCTGTTGTGTGAGGTTTAACTCTTATCTCCTCTTTTTTTCATTTTAAGTCAACAAAAATGTTTGCCTCTTGCAATTCATAAACACTAGACTTTTTTTCTTTTATGACTGACTTTTTCACGAGTTGTTATATCTTACTAACTCCCTCTCTCTACTCTTCCCTTCCTCAAGATGGATTTTAGCTGATCAAAAGTATATTTTGGCAAATTGTACATTAAAATATGTCAGAGAAACAAGACCTATGATAACTGAAATAGTTCTGCACATTCATTTCTATCCTTTGAATAACATTTACACTTGGAAAAGTACGTTTGGGATATTTAGATTTTTGTTTTTAAATTATTAGAAATGTAAAGATAAATTCTAGTTTCATATCAGGTCTGTTCCCAGGAAATTTTAGAATGACATTAGAATCTAATTGGTAAAAGTAATGGATTACATTTTTTAAAAATGTCCTTTAAAGGCTTCATATATGTGTAGAATTTGCACATGCGATTTTAGAGGCTGAGATAAAGTCCCTTTAAAAATTGTCTTAAATTGTATCATCTTGAAAATTATTCTCCTTTCAAACAATGCCAAAATATTTTTACAGCTGAGATGAAATCCTTACCTTCCTTTACCTGCTGTCAAAACAGATACATATTTGCTAGGCACTTTCAAAAATGGCCAGGTCTTTTGAGAGTGACTATATTCATATAGATTGGACATAACTATATGGATTTTTAAGCACAAGCAGAGAATAGAAATCAATTCATGTGTAGTGGTTACTAGAAGAAAAGATTATTTGCCCGAGCTGTCAAAACTGGGCTGGGAATTCCAGATTAGGGAGATCTTCTTTCTGGATGCTCAAACCATTAACATAGGACTTGCTGAGGGTCTTTACCAACTCTAGCTATCTGGTTAAAATTTGGGAGCCTGAAAGAATGGTGACCAGTCACTTTCTACACATGATGAGCCCACCTTATTAATGGCCCTAGGTATGCTTGGGGAATGCGTATTGTGGGGAAAATCGGGGGGATGGGGCTGCATTGAGATTTAAGACCCAGAAATGATGTAGGCATCTGCACACCTGCCAATGTTGACTTATTAAAAAAACTAACTTCAATTAAAGCTTGTATTAATTTGCATTTTACAAATTCAAACAGGTACAGTGCTGAGAAAGAAATTGGGTTTTAAGGGATTTTCAGCTTACCTTCACATAAGGCTATGCATTTTAAATTACGGCTTTGCAAAAATTGGGATTGCTGTCCTTTTTTCTGTGACTGAGGGATAAAAATGTGGAAAAATTAATTAAAATAGTAAAAGGAACCACGGGTAAAAATGTAACAAGAGTATTGTTTTAAATAGTTTATTTACTGGACACATTTGCATTATTGGGTTAAAAATGCAATAGTGGCGATTTAAACTACTTTATCCAATAGCAAAGGATCCACTTCATTAGCAATTTGAGGGCTGGATAATATTGGTGGAGAATCACATCATCAATGAGAAACAAACTAATAAAAGTAGTAAAAGGATAGTCAAATCCGGTTGCCCTGGAGTTTTCACAAGAAACCTACATGAGGAGATCAGAATCCTCCAATCTGGCTGGGTGCAGGGCACAGAGAACCACTGTAGCCATCACTCCAGTTCATGAGCTGTATGAGTATCTATATCTGCCATAACACCTCTCTCCTCATTGGTATCAATGGGGTGGAATCCTCTTTCATCACATAACAGTACAATAGTACAAGGGCTCTGTAGCACATTGGCTATAGTAGCATATATTGGTCTACATGGGAATATGGCTAGTGCAGGAGTTCTCAACTTCATTTCATCGCGACCCCCTTCCGAAAACAAAAATTACTTGACAATCCCAGGATGGGGGACAGAAGCCTGAGCCCACCGAGCCCCACTGCTCCGGGATGTGGTGGTGCGGGGGCAAAGTCCGAGCCTCACCGCTCTGGGCAGGGGGCCAAAGCTAAAGCTCAAGGGTTTCAGCCCCAGGCAGAGGATCTGCAACCTGAGCCCCGCTGCCCACGGCTGAAGCCCCCTGGCTTTGGCTTCAGCCCTGGGCAGTGCGGCTCGGGCTTTAGACCTGGGCCCCAGCAAGTCTAAGCCAGCCCTAGCGACCCCATTCAAAGGGGGTCCCGACCAGCTTTTGGGTCCCGACCCACAGTTTGAGAACTGCTGGGCGAGTGGATAAATGTAGTCATGGTCTCTTTGGCCAAACCCTGCTACTTTACGCCTTTGGTCTCTGAGCTGCTATGGAGTATGGTGACATGACTCACAGAGGTTACAGAATTCCTCTGAATGGCTTCCCCACAACATGTCCCTCCTGTAGTGAGGAACCATGCCGATATGCATATACTTGTCAAGGGAAATGGGTGTAGAATTTCCTCCTAAGGATTTAGCCATCTGTAAACCCAATACCCATCTATAAATGATTGTTATGAGTTTACCTTTGATTAAGCAGAAATTTACCAGCTTAGAGTTTAGAAACTATCACAAAGAAAATCTGTAGTGTGCTATGAGTGGAACTCTAGAGGATTACAAACTAATTTTATAGCATTATCCATTCTAGATCCATACTGCACACTAATTTAGTAAAGACTCCAGAGTTCACAGGCAGAGGTTTGCCAGGAGTGATACTGAATTAAAGATTCAATCGGCATTTCTTCCCTATTTACTTTTCAAATAGTTCTGCCTATGAAAGGAAATCCACATTTGCTGCAGTATAATCTGTAAATTGTTACTACCAGCGATTGGGTTATATTTGATCATTACAATGTCTTTCGATACTGTTGATTGTGTACAATAAAAGAGAATTTTTGACTTTCCAAGGAAGGAATTAATATTAATATTAATTAATTCCTTCCCAGCTACAAAACCCAATGTGCCTTCCAGATATACCGTTTGATACACTACTGTACCTGTAATGCATTACTGCCTTTACTGCTCGAAGCAGGTTCATCCTTAGCTGACACCTTCTGCTGCTTCTTATTCATCCCTAAAGACATTAAAATTACTTCAGATTTACTGGTGTGTAAAGCATTGTAAGTATAAGATATACATGGAGAGTGAAAGCAGATATTAGAGTGGGGTCAGATTCCTCTGCAAAGCATCCTAAAATTCTTGTTCTCTCTCGCATCACGTGCTACCACCAGTCTGACTCAGTCCCAAGAGCCACACACTTGCACGACAGTTCCAATGCCTTTAAAATAGCCAAAGTACCTAAAAGTAGGTGTAACAGCAGTTACACATGAGCTTAAATTCCACTGAATTCAGTTTAAGTATGTGCTTAAGCATTTTGCTGAAAAGGGATGGACTTCAGTTTAAAGTTAATTGAGCTTTGCTGCTTGTGGTATGGTCCTGGAAAAAGAGAGTCCATAAAAGATTTTAATTTAATATTTCATCTTCAATATTTTACTTACTTTTTATTATATTAAATGCTATCTTATTTTGAAGTGAGTGATCTACATAACATTTGCCACATGGAAATCATGCCACTCTCCTAACTCCATGACGTTTAACACCTTTACTATTATTTATATTACAATAGCATCAAGGACCTTAGTCATGGACTAGGATCTGATTGTGCCAGGCGCTGTACAAACACAGAACAAAAAGATGGTCCTTTATGCTACTATATCCTGTCCTTTATTCCTACATGGCTCCAATCCAGCAGTGCACCTTAGCATGTACCTAACTTTAAGCATATGAGTAGTCCCATTGACTTAAATGGGAGTACTCTTCAGATTGAAGTTAAGCAGACACTTAAGTGCTTTTTCTGGATTGGGTCCTATATGCCTATGCACACACACACTGAAATGCACAGTGTATGCATATTGCATATAAATATATTTGCATGCTGTGGCCAAGATCTTTAAAAACAGAAGTGTAAAAGCAGACTCTCAAGTCCACATTTAGGCTCCTTTCCAAAGTAATGGATGCCAGTTTCCAATTACTTCAGTGGGAGGTCCTGGCTGCTCAGCACCCTTGAAAATCAGGGCATGTATTTAAGACCATAAATGGGAATTTAGGAGCTTATTTTTTGCATACAGGAGTTCCTGTTTTTGCAAATGCTGGCCTAAAATAGAAATAGACAAAATTACTACAATGATTAAAACAACGAAGCAGGAAAAATCAGCAAATTAAAATATCCCTTTACATTTTCCCCTCTTTAGAGTGATTTATAAATATCACCTGAGTAACCAAATGATATGCTTGACAATGGACTAAGGTAGATCCCAATTCCAAACATTGCACCATGGAGCTGAAAAAGAATGTAAAAAAGGCTTAATATTAATTTGATAGTTTTACAAAGCAAAACAACATGGCACATGATCTAAACTGATCTGGATAATTATTTGCCCTCCCACCACTACAGTATCTGATATTAAATTATGTACAAAATAAATCCTAAGAAAACTTGCAGCAAATATTACACAAACTCTTCTGTATCAAGCTAAAATACTCCTGCATGCCCTAAAGACCATGCAAAATCCATTTTTATGGCACAGACCATTCCAACTGCCTGCAGATAAAGGAGTTTGCCTCAGTTTATAGCTGTAAAATAGTGCTTCCTGGTTTTAGATCTACCAGTGGTAAAGGAAATTTTTCTCCATATTCTGAAGTTATAGATGTATTTGTGTTGAAATTTAACACTGCAATCCATGAACAAACAATGTCCTGCATGTTATCAGCAAACACGATGATAAACAATAAAAAAATGTTAGGTTAAATCTGAGATGTAACCCTTGATCCCGAAAACAATTATGCGTCTGCATGACTTTATTCATAATACATGTTTGCTGTATCAGGGCCACAGTTGGTATAATTTTTAAATTAGGTAAATAAATAAATGATCACTGTTTAGATTTGTTCCAGAAGTCAGTGATGCTTTTGCCTAATTCATGTTTTTAAACAGGGTTTCCAAGAGCACCTGGTAGAAATATAGAGACAGAGCATATAAATGTGAATAACTTCAGTGACGTCAGAGGAACTGTGCAAGTCCTTATTAGGGTGCACCCAAGAGCTTAAATAGGGAGTTCTGTCATTCTTCCCAACTTTCTCTCTTCCTTCTTTTCCACTGACGTCTCTTTTTCCTCCCTCCCTATTGTACTGTCTCTCTCTTCTTTGCACTCTTTATCTGTATTCACTGAATCCTTTTCTTTTATTTCCCCATCTCTGAACTTCCCTCTGTTAATTTTCTCTTTCCTCTTAGCTTCCCCCATTCAGTCACCTCACTCTCATTCTCCTCAATGACTTGGTCCTTATGATACTCTCTTTAGCAGTACTGAACAACACCTCCTAGATGGAAGAAGCCCTGCATCTGGTACTTCCTCTGCCACTGAAGATGCTGCTGTGCACAGCCTCAGTGTGAATCTCTAACCTTGCTGAAGTCAATGGGAGTTTAGCTATTGACTTCACTGGGGCCAGGATTTCACCATCAATGCTTCAGAAGGACCAGTGGAACAACTGATTAGTATGAAAGAAGGGAGGATATAATTGCACCATGTAGTTTTTGATCACCAAGATGGCCATCTCAACTGCCTCTCCCCAAAGGTGCCCTATGTTTAATATGTAACCTTGTATCTATGGGTCAGATAAGAACCCTTGTATCTATTATTTACCTGCAGCCTTGTATTGGAAGCAACAACTAAGCCATTCCTCAGGATGGAGTGCCAGTTTTCAATGTGTGAACCACTTAAAAATAAAGTGGAAAAAAGGAAAATAAGTAGTGTTTCAAGACACCCAGAATGAAATTAACCATTTTCTCTAAAACAATGTATTTGCAATTGAAAATCTCTAACTCTTAGAATATCTGTGTTTTTCTTTACACATATTTTCAGATGATAAGAGCACAATAAGAACTGCAAGCATTATTTTTACTAATTTCTTTTTCATACTTACTGAAATGCAAAGGTACTTCCATAGAGATTTTTAGCAGCTCTGAAATTGGATTCTTTGGCTGGTGGACTGCTGAGAAGGAGGAACTGATGGGGAGTGTGCATAAACTTCAGTTGCTGTAAAATATAACAGCGCACAAGTGAAAAGATGCTAATGAACACGGACCTGTTGTATTTTCAGAATTAAGTTTTTCTAAGATATTGTGCTGGTTCATGCAATATACTGTTGCCCCTCAAGTCAGACATGAAATAATTTGAAGGCAGTCTCATTATAATAGTTTGTACTTCAAATAAAATTTTAAAAATACCTCCCAGTTTATGAAGTATATGGAAGTGCATGACATACACGACAACCTAAGATGAACCATGCTGACACCACTGAAATAACTGAATTGAACAATTTATTCCTGGTGTTTTGATCAGAGTGGTGTGATGTTGGTAGACTAAGTATCAGCTCATGCCAAATCCCCAGGTCTCACTGAACACTTACAAAAGCACACTGGAAATGGGAATAGTTACTAAGTCAAAAAGCCCCTGGGCATCTCTTATTGTAATGGTACATGAAAAGTATACAACCATGTACTTTTGTGTGGATTTTAGAAAGCTAAATGCTATCACACAACCTGACCCATATCCCACACCCTGAATAGAGGACTTACTGAATCTACTGGGTGGTGCAAAATTCGTAAGCACACTGAATTTAACTTGTGGATACTAACAAATTCCTTTAGATGCGGATGTCCAAGAAAAATCCACTTTTATAGTGGAGTCTGGCTATGTCTTTTGGATTAATAAATGCAGGAGTCACATTTCAGAGGCTTGTCAATGAAGTGCTGCAGGGGTTACAAACCTTTGCCAGGCCCTATATAGATGACTTGACTACTTTCAGTAGCTCCTGGCAAGACCATTTAAACCAAGTAGGAATTGTGTTACAAAGGCTGAGAGAAGCCAACCTCAACATCAAGGTCTCCAAATGCAAGATGGGAGCTGCTGAGGTATCCTACCTAGGACATAGAGTGGGCAGTGGGTTGCTTCACCCAAGTTTTTAAAGGTAGAAGTTACTTAGAGTTGGCCTGCTCATGGAGCCAGGAAGCAGGTCCAATCCTTTATTGGTCTGGCCAACTATTACTGGAGGTTTGTAAATTTTCATTGTGGCCCTCATAAGAGACCTTACAAAAAGAGGGAAACCAGACAGGGTGGTAAGGACAGAGGCTGTGAGATAGGCTTCCAGGAAAGAAGCTTTGTCTAAAGAGACTGCTTTGGTCAACTTCAATTTCAACAGACCATTTGTGCTGTGTACTGACACTTCTAAAACTGGGTTAAGTGCAGTACTGATGCAGGATGGGATGGCGGGGGGGACAAGTACAAGAGGCATCCCATTACCTACTTAAGCAAAAAACTGACCCCCACTGAACAAAACTATGCTCTCCCTGAGAAAGAATGCTATGCCACTGTCTGGGCAGTTAAGCAACCTAAATCTTATTTGTCTAATAAAAAAATTAAGGTTTTGACTGATCACACCCCTTTGACGTTGCTGCACCGAGCTAAGGGGATGATTCTAGATTAGCCCTACAGGAATTTGACATAGAAATAATTCATATCAAAGGGAAGGAAAATGTAGTGGCTAATGCCTTATCAAGAATAGGGGGAAATGCATGGTAGTCGGAGATTTTTTCCTGAGCAGTATCTGTAGGGCCAGCAGTGGCACCCCCTTGAGTGCCGCGCCCATGTGTTGGTATACCCAGTGCCACCAGCCCTATGCCCTATCAGTTCCTTCTTGCCAGCAACTCCAACAGAGGGGCAGGTGGGCAGGTAATGGAATGGACATGAGCAACACATCTCGAAGAACAACAGTAACAAGAAGGTAAGTAATCATTTCTTCTTGTTCGAGTGCTTGCTTGTGTCAATTCCATTCTACGTGATTCACAAGCAGTGTCAATGGAGGTGGGCTCGGAGTTCACGGTCTTACAGCGTGCAGCACTGCTCTGCTGAAGCCAGCATCATCCTGGGCCTTGTGGGTAAGTGCATAATGGGACGTAAATGTGTGGACAGATGACCAGGTAGCAGCTCTACAAATCTCTTGGATCGGCACCCGAGCCAGGAAGGCCGCTGATGACGCTTGCGCTCTAATTGAGTGCGCCTTGACTATTGCCCGCGCAGGCACTTTCGCCAGCTCATAGCAGATGCAGGCCATGATCCAGAATGAAATCCTTTGAGCAGATACTGGATGACCTTTCATCCTGTCTGCCACCACAACGAACAGCTGCGTTGACTTGTGAAACAGCTTTGTCCTGTTGATGTAGAAGGCCAGCACCCTCCTGACATCCAGGGCGTGCAACCTGTGCTCCTCCTCTGATTTCTTCGGGAAGAAGACAGGTAAGTATGTCCTGGCCAGTATGATACTGGGAAACTACCTTGGGCAGGAAAGCTGGGTGCAGCCACAGCTGGACCTTATCCTTGTAGAATAACGCATAGGGCAGTTCTGAAGTAACCGCCCTGATCTCAGACACCCTGCGTGCGGACGTTACCGCAACCAGGAATGAAATCTTCCACAAGAGAAGGAGAACAGAGCAGGAAGCCAGACGTTCAAAGGGAGGCCCCATGAGCCTCGACAGCATGAGATTCAAGTCCCAGGGAGGGACATGGTCCCGGATGTGAGGGTAGAGACACTCCAGACCTTTCAAAAAAATGGGCTGTCATGTCGTGAGCGAAGACCGACTTGCCTTGGAAAGAAGGGTGGAAAGCCGAAACAGCGGCCATGTGGACCCTGATTGATAAAAGAGACAAGCCCTGGAGCTTGAGGTGTGGAAGATAATTTAGGATCACCTGCAGCGAGGCCTGGATACATTGTTCCAAAGCCCAGCATGTGAACCTTTTCCACTTAGCCAGGTAAGTTGCTCTGGTGGTGGACTTTCTGCTATCAAACAAGACCTGTTAAACCCGGGCCGAGCATTCCCGCTCCTCCGCATTCAGCCATGCAGCAGCCATGCTGTCAAGAGCAACACCGCCAGGTTCGGGTGCAGAAGACTGCCATGGTTTGGGGATAGCAGATCCAGCCAGAGAGGTAGTTGCAGCAGGGCAGCTACCGAAAGGTCCAGCAGGGTGCCGAACCAGTGTTAGTGAGGATAATCTTTACCCTAACCTGTCTGATCTTCACAAGGACTCTGTGGATCAATGCCACTGGCGGGAAGGCGTATATCAGTGCCCCCAACCACGAGAGCAGGAAAGCGTCTAACAGGGAACCCCGTCTATCCCCCAGAGTGAACAGAACACATGGCATTTCCTGTTCTGACGGTATGCGAACAAGTCCACCTAGGGAGTTCCCCACTTCCGAAAGATAATAATGACCACCTCCGGATGGAGCGACCACTCTTGGCGAGATGGTCCTGCTGAGGTGATCCAAGATGTTCCTGGTTCCAGGCATGTCCGCTGCTATCAGATGAATGGCATGCCGCATACAAAAATGCCAAAGGCGGAGAGCTTCTTGACAAAGGGCCTAAGACCTGGCACCGCCCTGCCTGTTGATGTAATACATCACGGCATTATTGTCCGTCAGAATCTGCATCACCTTGTCCTTCAGGTGGGGCAAGAAAGCCTGGCAGGACAGGCAAACCGCTCTGAGTCCCTGACGTTGATGTGGAGGGCCAGATCATCCCGCAACCAGCGGCCCTGAGTGCTCAGCTTGCCCAGATGGGCTCCCCAGCTCAGGTCCGAAGCATCAGAGACCAGGGTAAGCAACGGGGATGGGATCGTGAAGGGGACTCCGAAAAGAGACTGCTCCCATCAAATGGGAGGTCCTGGATAGAGGTCTGCAGCTCTTGTGATAGGCTGGCAGTCTGAAGCCAGGAGCTGTGCCTCCTGACCATCGCCGATGTGACCACCCTGGCCACTGAGTGCGCTGCATCCCATATCATCTGGAGGGAGCACCTAGCCGCCATGGTGCCCTCCTCCACCAGGGTGCCAAATTCCAGATTTTGAGGGAGGGGCTCCTTGAACTTATGGAGGGAATCTCATAAGTTAAAACTGTACCTGCCCAAGAGGGCCTGTTGGTTCATCACCCAGAATTGCAGGCTGACTGCTGAATAAATTTTTCTCCCTAAAAGGTCCAACCTTTTGGCCACTTTATTTTTGGGAGTTGAACAGGTGTGCCCCTGCTTGTCCTTTTCATTATCCACAGAGACAACCAGCGAGCACGGAGGTGGATGGGTATAAAAGTACTTGAACCCTTTGGTCGAGATGAACTATTTTTTTTAGCCTTTTGGCGGTGGGAGGAATGGATAGAGGGTCTTGGCAATTTTTAGGACCCCGTCATGTACTGGTAGTGCGACATGTGCTGGGGTAGAGGCTGAGAGGACATTGAACAAGGTATCCGCCTGCTCGGCCATCTCCTCCACCTCTAGGTCCAAGTTCTCGGCCACCCGTTGAAACAGGGCCTGGGGTTCCTTAAAATCGTCTGGGGAACTGGCCCTCGAGGGTCCCGTGATCACCTCATCCGGGGAGGAGTATGATGACTGAACCGCTGGGGGAGGCTCAGGGGCATCATCCCCTGTGGGGGAGGGGGATTTTGGGGTGGGCACTGTCTTCTCTACTCCGACCTCCGAGCGGGTCTGATGCATTGAGCTGGTGCTGCCAGCTGTTGCTGCTTGATGGTGGCAGATGAGTGGTGCGTGGGAGGCATCATCAAGACCGGCACTCCCCACGTGCTCCAGTAAGGCCACTGCACTGGCCACGCCACCAAGGCGTCAACATAGCCTCGGGTGCCCAATTGCATTGGTGGAGTCTGGGCGAGGGGCTGAACTGCCCTTCTGTGCTGGAGGAATCTCCTTCTGGAGGCCACGGTGGGACATCAATGCCTGAGTCTGCCTGTTGACCATCACCGCCGGAAACTGGTGCCTGAAATGAGGGGATTGGTGCCAGTCCCGTGGGACTGGAGACGTGATGGGGAGCACTCCCACGGGGCAGGCGACCAAAATCTGCGCCAAAAGGACGACCAGTGGGCAGATGAATGGTGCCGATAGTATGGAGACCGGTGCCTCCCTCTAGGTGATCCGCATTGAGACAGCGGGGACCACGATCGAGGTGCTTGTGACCAAGAGCAAGCCCCAGAGGATCTGGGCTGCAACTCCGGCTATTTGCGGCGTGGAGGTGGAGAGCGCTGTCTTATCTCGGGGGATCAGCGGCACTCCACTGCCCCCTAAGGGCTAGCTTGCCCTCGTGGGGAACTTGGGAAGGCATTGGTGCCATCAGGGGTTTGGGTCCTATACTGCTCCCGGGAGTCGGTGGTGGACATTTTAAGGGGCTAAGGGCTCCGGGGAGGCATGGACGTGTGGCTCTGGAGTGGCCAGGTGGCCTGAATTGCGTCCCTTCCCCATGGCCCTTCCTTTCCTGGTGCTGGGGAGCCGTGCTTCCTTGCTTTCTTCTTGGGCACTGGTGATGGGGAGCAGTGCTGGGCGGATTCTGGTGCCAGGGGTGCACTGCGCACTTAGGCCAAAGTACTCGGCAAGTTTTGGCAGGATGGCTCGGAAGCCGGACGAAGGGCAGACTCCATGAGGATAGCCTGCAAACGAATATCCCACTCCCTCTGAGTCCTGGGTAGAAAGTTCTTACAAATATGGCACTTGTCCTTCACATGTGATGCCCCCAAGCACTTGAGGCAGCTGCTGTGGGGGTCACTTACAGGCATAGGCCTGTTACAGTCCGCTCAGGGCTTAAACCTGGGAGCCTGGGGCATGCCCCACCTGGGGCAAAGTCCCCGCTTGGACTCTAACTTCTAACTAAACTACTTAACACTAACTACTATCAACAAACTATTTACAAGGCCCTAAGGCTTGAAGTCAGTAGAGACGAAACCGCTAGCCCTTCCTATGCAAGGAAAGGTGCTTTGACTAACCACCACGGGCGGTAGGAAGGAACTGAGAGGGCATTGGGCCTGCGGCGGGTGATATACTGATGCATTGGCAAGGCACTCAAGGCAGCGCCACTGCCAGCCCTACGAATACCACTAAGGCAAAAAGCTCCGACAACCGTGCATGTGGGTGCGTGCACACGTAGAATGAAATTGACATGAGCAAGCACTCAAAGAAGAAAGCAGACTTGTGTAACACAAATGAAGAACTTTAACAGGAAAGTGCTAATTCTTGTGCATTTGAAGGCAAGTGGTCATTGTGTATGATGATCAGAGACCAAAGACTCTAAGGGTATGTCCACACTACAAATAAAAACCCACAGCTGGCCCATGCCAGCTGACTCAGGTGCTGTTTCATTGCAGTGTAGACTTCCGAGTTCAGGCTGCAGCCCGAGCACTGGGACCCTGCCACTTTGCAGGGTCTAGAGCCCAGGCTTCAGCCATGGGTATTTAATTGCAGTGCATTCCTCTCTCTTCCACCCTCAAAGAAAGAGCCCACATGGGTAGTGACCCTGCCAGCTTGTTTTCTGTGAGAAGAAAGTATGGACACAAGGAAAAATTCTTCATCTCTGGACTGTTTGGATTCTAACAGGGCACAATAAATGAATGACAAGACAGAGATCCCCAGAATAATTCTGGTAGCCCCAAGAGACTGTTGGAAAATGCAGATTACTGCATCTCTGCTACCATTTGGAATGATAAACTGTGACTCAACTGTACATCTATTTTTACCTGCTTAAACCTTTCAGTAACTCTCATTCTTTTTTCTTAGCTAATAAACCGTTAGTTAGTTTACTACAGAAGTGGCTACTAGTGTTGTCTTTGGTGTGAGATCTAGGATGCAAATCAACCTGCGTGAGTGATTGGTCTCTTGGGACTGGGTGTAACTTAGAATATTTTGTGATTTTTGGTATAAGTGGCCATTTATCATAAAGTTCAGCATGTCTGGGTGGCAAGATAGACTGGAGCGTCTAAGGAGATTGCCTGTGACTCCTATGATTGGCATGTCTAAAGGGATTGCCTGTACTTTGGGAGTTCACACTTAGTACTGGGTTGATGAAATTTATTTATAGACTGTACCAACACTTTCGGGTTTCTGCTCTGCTTTTGACAGTCTGCCCTGAAGTAGGCACTCATGGTCGTGATCCACTCCACAAAGCATTTCAGGTGGCTTTGAATTAAGACTCTGATTTGAAAGGCCACAGATTCAATGTATTATAAACAAAATCAGAGGCATAATACTGTACTTAGGAATGAACAACTCAATTCAAAGAATCCCTTCCAAGTGCCATAGCTACTGATTCATTTTTATAGTACATCTACTTGTGTGCATGCATGCAAAACTGTCTTTAACACACCCCTACAGCTGTAATCCACATCCTAAAGAGACAAAGTGTTCAAAAGGATCTATATTAGTGTGAAATATTGAAGTAATGAATGAGAACAGCAGGAAGAATACTAAAGAAATTAACCAGATATTACCAAGGATGTGTTGTTTCTTCACACAAATAAACAACACACTCACACACACATCACAAGTGAGATTTTTAAAAACACTCAACGTTGACCTCACTGTAGTTAATGGTAATGCTCCCTCTGACTTAAATGGGAACAAAGTTCTGAAATCCCACCATATTAATATACAAGAAAATAACTCCAAACTTACCCTGTTCACTGGTAGTTTCACAATATGTGACCTATTACTAGAAATAACCCTGAAATAAAGAAAAATAAATACATGCAGGTATCAATACAAAATTTTCTTCTAGGAAAGTATTGATTAATGGCCATTGACAGAGGCTAGCTGAAGGCCTATGAATCATATACATTCTACTTAAGTGGTGCATAGGCCTGGTGCTGGTCAAGGGCTTGATTCAAAGTCCACTAGAGTCAGTGGGAGTCTTTCCATTGGTTTCAGTGGGCTTTGGATCAGGTCCTAAAAGCTCCCAGAAAAAAAATTAAATGCCAATAATTGTAAATGCCAATACTAATTCTTAGGGCCAGCTAACACCAAATTAAAAATAATAAAATGATTATTCATTCAACATGGTACTGAAATAATTCTTATCTTAATGTAAGTCAGTTCTATACCACTGCAGAAGAGGATGCGCAAGCGGGTCCTGTTTATCCATCTGCTTCTTTATTTCCAAATATGGTGCCTAGAAAACAGTAATTATGCGCTTTACTGCTGGATAAAATTTTGTATATATTACATTACACATAGTTTAATCTATAATAAATGAATACATTGGATTCATCATCACAGATTTACTGACATTTAGCCTTGAACAACTATAACTGCCTTGACAACAACAAGAATTACTCCAGCAATTCCCTTCCCTTGGGTAGAATTTATAAGCTTACATGTAGCTTCAGAACAAGTATATTGGAGCTAACACTGTTGGTAACAGGAGAGGCCGTCTAGTAGTGTTTGGCTCCGACATTAGGAAACTGGACTGGAACTTCAGTGAAACAAAGCCTCTCTAAAGTACTCTGTGGTAATTCACTCATAACTATTTTAACTGCTTCGTGGTATTAAATAGGTAAAATCAATATTGGACCAGATAATGTTCACACTGAAAACTCCCACTGACTATATTAGGATCATGAAGTAGCCCTTTAAATCTACTCAGCCCAGCAATAATTATACTTCATCCTAGTATTAAAATGGCAACTAGATAATATAATGTGCAATATAGTAGCTTAATTCTCATACTAAAATTATAATAGTATTTCGTAAACACATCATTTTTCATTCCAGAATCTAAAAGTATTGTACAAACTTAGATTAACTGAGCTTTACAAACCTTGGTGAGGTTACATCTATTTAACAGCATGGTAATAAGGTGGTGCTGCACTTCTAGTAATCAGTTAACATCAATGGGACCACTTGTGAAGTAAAGTACTACTCAACAGTAGTGTACAAAGGTATCAAAATCTGGCCCAAAGTGAGTATTCAGAAGCTGCATGATCTAAGTCACAGGAGCCCTGGCTCCTAATCCCTCTCAATTTTACTTAAATGAACAAAGTTCTAGTTATAATAGAAATAAAGCCATCACCATAGTATACTGTCACAAAATCAATGACCCTTGCTTTGAAAAATCAAAGACTTGGCTTAGCCTTGCTATTTCCTAAAATGCATGAAGCAGTAGTTGGCCATTATTCTGTTACCATGTTCCATTCCATGGATATTATCTCTTATTTAAGCTTCCAGTGACCAGAATTCTGTTTCATCAGTTTTATTTTGTCACCATCTATATACTGCAGGTTTGTTATTTTTAACACATATTTTTATATTGTTGCAACTCGGTAGCAAAAATAAAAATACAATGCAAGGCACCACCCTACTCCCCCAAAAGAGCAACAAATAAAATCAGGTACATCCTTCGATAAATTACAGTTAAGATACTAAAAGACTCTTATACTTACCTGTGTCATTTCTCTAATAGAAGTAATACTATCCAATGCTTTCATGACTCGATCATAATTCTTCTTCTGATGTAATGTAAAATAAATGAATACATTAATTTTTTTTGGGGGGGGAGCTCTTTTATATATAAACATACTCATTCGATGCTCTGAGTTCATATACTTTTGGTATAAAACAACAATTAAGACCAATGACTGACAAACCAAGCCCACTCATATCTCTACATCCAATATTCTTCTTCCATCCCACACATCAACTCATCCACAACCCAGGAAAAGTCTGGAAGACCAACTGACGCCAGTTACTTTTGTTTAAATTCATTGAATGCACTGCAAATAAGGAAATTCACTTTGTAAATTAGATCAATTTATCAACAAATGTTAATAACTATTTATGAGTCTGACAGTTATTTAAATATCAGGTCCAGTAGTGCATCTTGCTGTTCAACAGAACATGGGAGCAGATTGAGTGGAGTGAAGGGCCAGCAATGAATCAGTTAAAAACCCCAGGAAATTCTAGTGTGCCACTGTTTGGCCTTTGTTAAAAAAAGGTGAAATTTACCCTTATGCAGAGTGTCCATAGTTCCCACGTAAGCTGTTAAAATAGGGCCTCTGTGGGATTTAAATGCTGTGTTGGTTGCATTGGTCTTCTGCAAGCCCTCGGATTGCAAGGAGTGAATTTCATTCAAAATGAATAGAAAGGTCTACCATTGTGTTGTAGGCAATATTCTTTACTTTGTTAGGTTTCAGAGTGGTAGCCGTGTTACTCTGTATCAGCAAAAACAATGAGGAGTCCTTGTGGCACCTTAGAGACTAACAAATTTATTTGGGCACCCAAGAAGGCTTATGCCCAAATACATTTGTTAGTCTCTAGGGTGCCACAAGGACTCCTCGTTGTTTTTACTTTGTTAGTTATTGCTTGGGAACTCTCTGAAGATGAAAAGTACTACACACGTTTCAAGTATAATCATTATTTTAAAAATTAATATTTTAAGAATATAATCATTTTACAAATAAGAACTTTAGAAATGTAAAATAAAAATAAGCGGATTTAGAGCCACATGGTTAAATTTTCCCAAAGGCCAACTTCACTTTGATGTGTGTAATATGCTCCCAGATGAACAAATTTTGCATCCACAATTTGCACCCACAAACAGAGAGACTGAACGTTTACCTCTAGACAGCTTCAAAACGACATTTTATATTGTCTAAAATATTTCATAGGCTCCATGGCTACACTGTTGTACACGTACTGTATTTTAAATCCAAATCTGTCAGTGTGAAGACACATTATCTTGTGGAATTGGACCTGGCTTTGAAATCTAAAACATGCCTAAAAGCAAACATTACCTGTTGAAGAGACAACTACTTACCCTTGGATTAAAGGCCAGCACCTGAGGATCATTAGGATCAACTACAGAAGGATATGGCTCAAAAATGACAACTTTCCGGGGTGATTCTAATGCCGATCGACACATGGATACTAATAAATCTACCACCTAAAAATAAAGAAAATCATACATAAAGAAATGGCTCTTTCACAGAAAACTATTTATTTTGAGATTCAATAATCTATTTGTCTCTCCAGAATTATCTTCTGTCTTCCTGCATCATAGAATTTGCTTCTTTGATGTTGTGTCTTTAATTATTATACCCATGATATCCGCTGATTGAATTCCAATGCTTGAATATTTGTTGAAAACCATAAGTCACAGGAGTGGTAATTCCGCATTTTGTAATAACAGCCGCCTGTAAGTGATTTCATATTCATATTTTAGTCTGCATCTTTTGAAATTTGACTTAACCCAGTTTTGAAAATCTTTGCGGAACACAATGCCTCAGATTCACTAGTTTTATTCACTGAATGGCTTGTACAATATGGCTGTGGATATACAGTAGCATCTGATTTTACAAGGTATATAGTTGCATGGTAGTGTAGCTGAAGTCACAATTGTGCCCTAAACTTGAAATAATAGACTGCATTTTGTTCAGGTATAAAATATTTTTCTACATGTTAGATGAGCTATCTGAATCATTGTCTCCAGATCCCTAAAGGGTTAAATGATATTTCTCATCTCAAAAATATGCATTTTACTATATGTTTGAGGATCTTCCATAAGGTACAATTTGGCCTACAGTGGTTTTGAGGCATTTTGTGAGTGAGTGGAGTCCAAGGACTAAATAAATATTGTTATGTTGCAGCAATTTTGCTTGAGAAGAAACTTAGGTTTAGTAGTTGACAAATGTCTGTAATACTGTGGAGGAATAAGCGTTATGTCAAGAAAATTGATAAACCATTTCATCTACTGACGGAAACCCATCTGTTGTATACAGTGCATTCATATTATATACAAGCAGGAAAGAACTTCTTAATTAAAAACTGTGTGTTTCTAAAGTATAGAGTAAACAAAACTCTGTAATTAAAGCACTAATGGCTTTAATTACAGTCCCTTTAATAAGCCTTTGATCAGGCCCTAAGGTACAAATCCTATAAAAATCTCCCAAAATGGGACCGAGGTTTGGCCCTAAATATACTGTAATGCAGAGTATATTGATTTACCATGGAGCAAACTCTAATTCCTCTTGTACATGTGTGGAATCCACAGATGCAGCAAAACTAAGAGGAGGAAGAAAGCTCTCCAGGGGGTATGCATACCTGGGCACAATGTAGCAGATAACAGCTAACAATCTTGCTCAAGGATGAAGCAAGAATGAGATGGGGGAGGGGCACAAAGACAGGGTTGGTGGATCTGCACTACATAGATCCACAGGTCATTGCTGCCCTGGAGAATAGAGTTGTAAAAACCATGGCAACTATTGCCTTTTAGATTTGCAATAGTGGAACAGTTCATGGCTCAGGCTGAGAGTTTCTTCTTCCTTGTCGCTGCAGGGATTACAGCATAGCTTGGAATGTTTGCGCTGTGCACTGATCTCCTGAAATTTGCCCCAGGTTACTGCATGTACATGTGTTTGTGCATGTAACATACACTCAGTTTTAAATAAAAGTTGCATCAGAAATTTCATAATTTGAAAATAAGTTTGAGGAGAGATGAGTTTTGTTTAAGAAGCACTTGTAATTCCTCCGATCATTCCAGATGGACTGTACCTTGATTCATCATTCAAGCTGTTCTAAAAGTTATCAGATCCGATCACTCAAGGGAAATAAAAGTGAGTTCCGTTTAGAGAAGCAGAATGAAAGTGAGAATCATCAGGAAAGATAGAAGGAATTGTGCGGTAGTGAGTCACACTGTTTTCCCTTCTCCTCCTCTGCTATCTTGGCATGAATGAACAATCTTCTTCTGATAAAAACTATTCTGGCAATTGACATAACTAGAGACCTCATATGTCCTGAACAAGAAGGCTACTTAAGCAATTCCCTCCCCCAGGTTTTTAATGAAAAGTTTAAAATCCACAGTAAATATTAAGATACTCTATTTTTTTCCCAGTTTACAAAACCTACAGACATGGAGAACTTTTCAAAATTAGGTATCTGTGCTGATTCTCAAAGGAGTCTAAGGGTATGTCTACACTTTGAGCTGGCAGTGTGCTTCCCAGTGTGAGGAGACATACTTGTGCTAGCTCTCATTGATTAAAAATTGAGTGCAACTATGGTAGCGTAAGTACGTACCTAGAGTGTCTGATGAGCATGAACTCTGGATAACTAGCTCCTCCAATACTGCCACAGCTACATTCTATTTTTAGTAAGCTAGTGTGAATGTGCTCCTCAATCCCCAGCTCAATGTGTAGACATATCCTAAGAGAGTTAGGTGACCAACTCCTAGTGAAATTCTAATCTTTCTCCCTGGCACCAATCCTCAGAAATCCTGCTTTACTCTTTTTGCATAAGCCTGGATTTTAGAGGATATGAAAATACTTGATTTGTTATTTTATTGCAGGATATCTGCCCTGAACCCACTTGCAATTAAGTCAATTGGCAAAACTCCCACTGGGAGTAGGATCAGCCCCTAAATCTTTAAATGCAGTGGCCCAAATCCTCCAGTTTAGTGCTGCTGCTTTATGCCACACAGCTGGTCAATTTTGGTTCTGAAGTTGGCCTAATTACCCAAGAATGGATCACCCAAGTGTAGCAACACCCTTTAGTTGTGCAGAGACAGAGTCATGACTCCTATACCGCTTCCCACCCTGTTGGCACATGCCAACTTACTAACCACCCACTGATTCTCTCTGGGACCATTGGCAGCTGGTATAATTCAGAGCAGCTTGAAGTCTGCTCTAAATTAAACAGGAAACCAGGCTAGTACAAAGCATGCTCAGGACTGGGGGAGCTGCCATTACACTCTTTCTCCCAAGAGATGTGCTGTGTGCTCTTTGGCCATAGCTGAGGATTGTTTCTGATGACTGATTGGTACAGCACCTGCTTTTAAAAAAGGAGCCGGGAGAGTCTTGGGAATTACAACCTAGTGAGGGTCACGTTAGGGAATTAATTGAAAGGGTAACAGAAAGACGAGGACAAGAATTTCAAAATTGGATACCTAAATCAAAGTGAAATGGCCTTATTTTCAAAAGTGCTGAACACTCAGAAGCTCCAATTAAAGTTAATTGAAACCTGTGGGTCCTCACATTTTTGAAAATCAGGCTGCTACACACCTGTTTTTGGAAATCATGGAAAGAATATAGCAACCAGTGTGTAATACTTCACTCAGCCCCCATGGGCTTTGTAATGGATATTGCCCTAACTTATTAAAGTTCTTAAACAATTTTAATAAAATATGATAAAAAGGCAACTTGGAAGATACAATTTAATTGGATTTTCTAAAGAAAAATAATGAAGAAAACAAATAACTACAGGGTAAGTAGCAATATCCTGCCAGTATTTACAAATAAATTTAGAGTAAAAAACCAAAGGTATGTTAAAAGAGCTGCTCCTCTGAATGGAGAGAAGAAAACAGTGTAGTAACAATGGATCAGGACTGTGCCCACTGTTATTTAATAATCAAAACAACAGATTTACAATGGACACCTGTATCCCAACACCATGAAAAGAAGAGGGTTTAATATTTGCCTGAGAGTAACAATTGCTCTTTAAGATAAAATAGGAATTATCTCCAACAAGATAAATGGACAGCTCAGACCTAACCAGGTGACCAAATTCAACTCAGCAGAAGAAAGAATTCAATTTTCAAAAGCACTTAGCATTGGCCTAACTCTGCCACCATTAAAATCAATGGTAAACGTCCCATAGACTTCAACAGGAGCAGAATTTGGGATCTACCCAATGAGCACCTTTAGAATATCCCGCCTATACACTGAAGTATGTAATCACATCTCTACTAGTCTCTGCACACTGTGAAGGAGTTTATAAAAGTTAGCAAAGAGCAGAGATATGAAGAAAGTTAGTAAATATGGATTAATAGAAATTATTGGATGTGCTATACAAAATTCAAACATGATTAACATTATATAGCTGTACCTGAGCCCCAGTGGCAATTTCATCTGCAGCTTCATTCATTACTCCTAGAGTTTGGAAAGCAAAAACACACAGCTCCCGTTCACATACTGTGGGCTAAAGAGAAAACAACAACAAAATGTTAATTGTGTTTTTATTCCAATTTGTAAGTATTAATTTTTCCATGTACCACCTAAAATATAAATATAAACCATGCATATTAATTCCCATTTAATGCTATTATTTTTCCTGGACAAAAAACTATATTAAAATAAAATGTTGAGAGTACATATCAGTAATTTAGGGCAAATTGCATTACAGGGATGTTGTAATTATCCCAAAACTAGTGTTATAAACTCACGATATTCACAGTTCTGGTTACATTTAAAAGAAATCCAAACATATTATAGTATGAAAATTCACAGCGAGAGCACCCAAATAACCTTAACTCTGCTCTATCAGACTCTTAAAAACTTCCCATATAATTAAAACCCACTGAAATCTTCTGCACAGGCTACATTGAATACTTTTTCCCTGCATGATTAATAGTAATTCTTCACTTTTATTCTTCGGAACTGAAAATTTCTCGGTCAACATCTGTTATTCTGTTACTGAGATCATTTGGGACAAATGAAAAGGTCTGACAGTGGGTGCTAAATTTCTTAAACACACCTACTTTAACTTTAATTTCTAAACTAAAGGTTTACTTGTAAATCCTCAGAAAATTCATTCTGTATTCATAGAGTAACTGCTGTGAATTTGAAGAAGATAACGCTGCATTTCCCCCCGCTTTAAGTGCAAAATTCAATTCATCCTTAACTATGGAGCTGTGACTGACACCTCCATCTTTTATGAAACCATTCATTCATAATGGTTCAGTTACAGTTATTTAACAAAACAGAAACCAATTTAACATATCAAAGCTGAGCAAGAATTATAGGTCTTGTCCATATGGCGATTCAATGCATGGCAAGCTGGGGTATGAATCTACAACGCTCTAGCCTGTTGCTCACTTAGTGGCCATGTGGATGCTGCTGCCACATAGTAAAAGTTCTGTAGTGTGCTTTGATCTGTTGCTGTTTCAACTATGGAACTTTTAGTACATGGACGCAGGGTCCACATGGAGACTTAATGAGCAGCAGGCAAGAGCGCTGTAGATTTACACCCCAGCTTACAAAATAAACCCTGTATGCAGATTCACATAAAGCAAAAAGGATAGAAACAAAAAAATCAACATAATTAAGTTTTAATTAAAGAGAATAGGCTCTCTAGGTTTTCCAATAGTTCACATTTTATTAGCAAACCCTTGCTCATCACTGAAAGATTATTACTAGATTCACATATTTAAGGCCAAAGTTGTCTATAATCTAAATAGTCAAGAATTAGTGAACAGTCAATTGAGGCAAATAAGCACATGAAAATAGGTTAGATCCCTTGTTGGAATTTTTGTAATAAACAAGAAATTTCTACTTCAACATAGAAATGGTCTAACATGTACTTTTCAGTTACTGCTTGGTGAGTATACTATATTAAACAATTACTTATGAAACTTAAAATTATGTCAAACAGGAAGCTATTATGCCAGGTACCACTGAAAATCTACCACCGAAACACTATGAGTCTTTCGCTGCCATGATAATAAAGGAAGAATATCTCTAAGTTCAGACACTCATGCCAACGTCTATAGAGAGCACTCAGCAGAAATTAAAAATGTATCAAACAAACATAAAATTTAGCTGGATTTTGTTTCAAGAAATTATTTCACCAGTAATATGCTATAGTTCTGCTCACTTGTTTCATAGCCCTTAAAATATGCACTGGTTTGGTTTCAAAGATTTTTGATTTAAATAACCACTTGAAATCAGCACTGAAATATTCTCACCGCAGTTGCTTTAGAAGAGCTATCATCTTTCAGCTCTAATAGCATGTCATATATTTGAGTTATTTTATCTGCTATGTTACATTGCATTAGGTAGCAGGCTAAGCCTAACATGATCCAATTCACGGTGCCACTGCACACTAGACAAAAGGTATTTATTATTGCCACTGTTCCTATCCTTACACATTTCGAAAGGTGACTTCGCTATTCACGTTAGTGGGGAAAGTATAAAAGAATTCCTATCCTGACTGTTATGAATAACCAAAATTGTTCTCTGATTCAATTTCACTACACAGTAAGGCACTGACAAAGTTCAGCTATGCTTGCCATAAAGCAAAAGAATTCATAAATAGTGTTTTGAATTCGCTTTGTAATCTGCTCACCTTTAGCAGTGTAATAAGTTATCATGAAAGTTAAAAGTGACATACAAAGGGGAAAAAAATTGGGTGTGTGTCCTTTTTTTCTTCTTTTTTCAAAGACTCTGTGATGACTAGGGAGCCTGTGTAAATGATGACATCATGAGAAGCAGGAGAGTAAAAATTGAGCTGTTAAGAGGTGATGGGATTTTAAGTCAGGCTGTATAAAATTCTTTGTATTTTATTTGTTTTTGCTAACTCCTATTTAACTTCAATGCCTAATGAACATTTTTGAATGAAATAAGTCTATGTTAAAGATTCCATACCTTTCAATTTAGGTTTTAAAGTTTTAAGAGCTCACAATAAACATATTTTTTACCTCCCTCTGGGCTTCCAACAAAGCAAATAAGACCAGACTTTACATTCCTGACATTCTTAAATTAAAAGATGAGCAGGAAACACCCCTCCCCCAAAAGCAAACAAACAAAAATCTGCCAATCTTCTTTATAAATCATAAAGAACTAAAACGCAGCACAAGTCCAATTTTTCTTCAGATCCTTTACAGATCAACGTTTAACTAAGCAATGGTCCTGGGAGAAGTGATCGTTTTAAGATCAGTTCTTTTATTTCTTGTTACATAAAAATGATATTTTTTTTGACACTTATCAATAGGCCAGTCTATATATTCCTTCCTCCCATGATGTTATGCAATGAAAAACTAATAAAAGTTAGACTAGTAATAAATGAGGAAGCAATAATAAAGGCTTAGTGTTATAAATTCTTTGATAAGGCGTTTATATGGAACATATAAGAGTGAGTTCTCTGTACTTATCTGTGCTGACTCTTCCTCTCCAACTTTAATGAATATGTTGAAGAGTATAACAGCATGCAGTCAGAAAACTGAGACTGATTGGCACTGCAGCCTCTAGAAGGTAAATGTCTTGGCTGGTCATATCAAGACACCAGGCAGAGTATAAAAGGAAGGGGAGTCAGGATTTGTGAATGACTAAAGCCAGGGAGGCCTTTGGGGAATTACTGCCCAGTGTTTTTTCAGTTGATTTTCTTTCTGGTTTTGTGACTGGTGGATAATAAGCCCTGAGGAAAGAGCCTTAAAAGCCCTGAAACTTAGAGCTTTATTTCCATTCCCACCCACTAGTTTACACTGAGCTAGAAACATACTTAAAATAAAAAATGAAAGATGGTATTATTGAGTAGTAAGCTGATTCCAGGAACCGGGCCTTTAAGAAAATTGCAAGACTTGCGAGAAAATCATGAGACTATTTGGCAATATTGTGAGCTGTTTACAAAAATTCAACAATGGTAAGGCGGCTGATGTGTGCTGTGACCACTGCTTTTTATGCTGACCAGTCTCCTTGAACTCCCATTGTCTGTTTGTTGTATACACCTGTTGTCTCTTGTCTTATATTTGGATTATGTCTCCGGGCAGGAGCTTTCTTTTCATTCAGTTTTTGTACAGTGCCTGGCACAATATGGTCCTGGTCCATGACTGGAGTTTTTAGGTCCTACCACAATGCAAATAAATAAGTAAAAAAATACATAAAAATAAATAATTAACTTTAAATTGGCACAACCCCATTTTGTGGATACTTTTATTTTGGTTTACGAACACGATTTAGCATTACATCCATTTGGTTTACGAATATTGATTTAGCTTACATCCATTTCTAAATAGATTTAGTTAAATCAGTACAACTTTCTTGTCTAGACCAGTGGTTCTCAAACATATTTGATCGTTTACTTTTCCACTGCTGCTAGCGGTGGCTCTCTGGCCACTCAGCTCTGAATGTGCACAGTAAGTTTTTTCCCCCTAAAGCTTTTCACACCCCCACCCCTGCCTGCCCTCCCAAGCAGGGCGCAACCCCCAGTTTGAGAACCTCTGGCCTAGACAAGATGATGTGGAGATATGGTCTCTTGGACAGTCAGGACGTAAGCCATACAGGGTTTTACATCACCTTGAATTGCATCCAGAAATGAACTGGAAGGAATCCTCTGTAGTCGACAGAGTATATATGCTAACATTCATCACTGAGAATGTGTGCAATTTCTTTCTGCATTGTCTAAAGAACAGTATTGTCATTCTCTCTAAGCAAAAACAGCTTATGACAGAACAATCAACGGCCTGAAAGATATTTTATTTTTAATCAGGATGCAGAAAATAAATGGAAGGTCATTTAGTTGACTGTCACAAAACTTTTGGCTGAGTGAAGAACATCAGTGCTGAAAGATCATTCAGAGGGATAATTATTCCAGTAGGAAAACGCCAGAGAAAAGTAAGAGCCCTGGTTGCTAACAGGCTGAGATTGCAAGCCCCAAGGAACAGAAGGCAAAAATTGTATCATTTTTTAGACCTGTAGGGTTATCTTGAGTTTTCTTTTCAGCTATCCCCTCTCTCCATGCTCAAAAGCACCTTTGAGAGTGTCACAGCTGCTATGAACAAGAAAGAATAATCAGAGTTTTCTATCTGCTATAAAGCAAGTGGCATTGCCTCAAATGGTGGCCGTGAATAGCAGGTAGGTCTTCCAACTACAAAAGCATGTGCCTATATTCCTATATGTGGGCTCATGTTGTCTAATATAATTTCCAGACAACCTTTAAATTAACTACAACAAAAAAACAACAAACAAAATACTCAGAGCTCATGTTGACCTGGTTTATCTTGTCATTTTCTAAAGCTTTCTGAAGTTGTGCTCAGAAGAGCAATGTGTCATCCTCTGAAGTACTCTGAGGGATGCCACACACACACTAATGAGGCTGGAACATGACTGGCACACCTAACTACTATTGATCTAAAAATAAATACTCAAGAAAGGCTCACTTACAGCAGATGTCATAAATGGCAAAGGTGAAACCATTAAAAATCT